TTGGAAGGTGGTAAGTGGACAAGAGGCTTCAGGTGGGCACTGGTCCCTGAGTGAAGAATTAAGTTGGTTCCAATAGTCTGGAGCAGTGGTTTCCAAATGTTTTGATCACAAGTCATTAAAAAGTTTGAGCATTAAACTTTTTAATGACTTGTGATCAAAACATTTGGAAATCACTATATATATATATAAAAAAACATATGTGTGTGTGTATATATATACATATATATAGAGAGAGAGAAAGAAACAGCCAAAGATAGGGAATTTTAAAAGATGATATTTTGAAAATAATTTTTTTTTTTTTGAGATGGAGTCTTACTCCATTGCCCAGGCTGGAGTGCAGTGGTGCAGTCTCGGCTCACTGCAAGCTCCACCTCCTGGGTTCATGCCATTCTCCTGCCTCAGCCTCCCGAGTAGCTGGGACTACAGGTGTCCACCACCACGCCTGGCTAATTTTTTGTATTTTTAGCAGAGATGGGGTTTCACCGTGTTAGCCAGGGTGGTCTCGATCTCCTGACCTCGTGATCCGCCTGCCTCAGACTCCCAAAGTGCTGGGATTACAGGCGTGAGCCACCGTGCCCGGCCTTTAAAATAAATTTTAATAGAAGGTGACATGGTACAGGTGAATCACTATAGCAAATACATCTCCCAAATTTCAGTGGCTTGACAGAATAAAGTTTGTTTCTTTCTCATGTTGGGGTTGGTAGAGAGGGCGTTGGCCCCTTGCATTCATTTGAGGATGCAGGGTCGTTCCATCTCATGGCTCTTTCACCCTCTAAGGCCTTGGAATCCTCTTCTTTTAACCAAAGAATGGAGAAAGAGAGGAAGACTTGAGGCCTGCAGGATGCAAGGCGACTTAAGACCTAGACCTGGAAGGGGCAACATTATGGCATCATGGCTGCCCTGACTCCATTCGTCCAAAGGCAGTCATGTGGTCCCAGCAAGGGATGCTGGGAAATGTAGTCTAGCTCGTGCTTGGGAGGAAAAGGCCATGAGGTTTAGTGAATACATAGCAAACTCTGACACAGAAATTCAAGTCTCCCCATATCCCAGAAAAGTTTTTGAGCATCCTGCAAGGTTTCCCATTTGGAAACTATTAGCCTGGAAGACTAGGCATAGACTGACCCTGTCAACCCCTATTCCTCTCCCACAGAGCAGGACTCCCTGAGGAGAGCCAGATTTAGGACTAGATGGGAAGATGTTAATAATGGCTAGCATTACTGACAATTTACCCTGTGTCCAGCACCAGCTAAGCGGTTTACACGCATTAACTCATTTAATCCAACAAAAATTCAGTGATGTAGATGCTATTAGTATCCCCATTTTTCAGATGAGGTAATGAACTGAAGCCCATGGAGACTGAGTAACCTGCCCCAAATCACACAGCGTCAGATATGGAATTTGATGTCCATCACTGGCTCCAGAGTCTGTGCTGTCTGTCACTACCTTGTGCTGGGCCTAGAGGGAACATGGGAGATAACTCCCAGCTCTGCAGGCTTTCCACACCCGGTAAAGACAGGACAGAAGAGCAGCAGGCTGGGGCTGAGTGAGGCTGTACAGGGAAAGCAGAGTCAGACAGGATAGGAGGGTGAGCACAAGGTAAAAGGGAGTGAAGAAAAATGAGCTTGCAGAGTCAGGCTATTGGAGCTCAGCCATGCCATTCAGGAAGCAACTGCTGCATGGAGGACTCACAGAGACCCCAGGTAGTGCCCAATGCCCAGAGAAGCCCCTTTCACGCTGGTCCCTGTCCTTGATTAAACTTGGAATGACAACTGGGAAGAAGTCAGCCCCACAGAGGTGGCCATGGCCTGCCCACATCCCAACTGCTCCCAGAGCTCATGCCTGTTTCCTCCCAGGACAAGCTCAGCTACTCGCCTGCCCTGGCAACAGGTTCCGAGTGTCACCAGCACTGCAACAGCCCCTGTGGTGTGCTGGGTCCTCCAGGCTCACTCTGGCCCTTCTGATGCCCTAGCCCCTTGGGCTGCCTTCTAAAGAGTCCACCTGTCCTGGTCTCCACGCCAAATGGACCTAATTTACTCAGGTAGAAAAACTCTCAGTGGGCGGCTCCAGGGTACTGTCCCCACTGTCACCGCATCATATTCTAAGCCAGTGGGTGAACAACCTCGGTTCTGGCTCCCCTTTGAACGTGACCAGAGTCTGTCCATGGGCAAGAAAACAGACTCTGTCAGATCATGTGTTCTTGTGTCACTCCTGCCATAACTTTGATCTCCAGCAAATCACTCAGTGCCTCAGTCTCCCCACAGTAAAAGTAGCTCAGAAATGTTATGACTCCAGCCCCCAAGGAAATTCTGGGTAGTTCTGTGTGTCTTCAACACTGCCGAGTCTTTTTTCCAGACAAATCTTCCTCCCTGACGAATCTTCCTCTAGGATATGTGGGGTTATAATTTGCCCTCAGAGATGCAGGTGCCCCAGGGGTCTCCTTTAACACATGAAAAGTCAGTCTCTGCCACATGCCAGGATGCCTGTGAACATCACAGAGGCCACCCTAACCCTGTCACAGACCTTCCCTGCTCTGGTGGCTATTAATTCTCCTGAGAAAAACCTCTGCTGGTCGGAGCCCACATTTCGTTCAGGGATCCAACCTGGGCTATCATCCCAGCTCCAGGAAAGAAGCAGCTGCATGCCTTCGCTGCTTCTATTCTGATTTTTTTTTTTTTTTTTTTTGAGATGGAGTCTCGCTCTGTCGCCCAGGCTGGAGTGCAGTGGCACAATCTTGGTTCACTGTAACCTCCACCTCCTGGGTTCAAGCAATTCTCCTGCCTCAGCCTCCCGAGTAGCTGGGACAACAGGTGCACGCTACCACGATAGACTATTTTTGTATTTTTAGTAGAGATGGGGTTTCACCATATTGGTCAGGCTGGTCTCAAACTCCTGACCTCGTGATTTGCCCGCCCAGGCCTCCCAAAGTGCTGGGATTACAGGAGTGAGCCACCACACCTGGCCCAGTCTGATTTTTTAAAAACTGTCCTACATATCAACCCTGCACGTTACCACCTGTTTCAACCAATTTGTATTGGATGTGGTGGGCAGAAAGCGTTAAGCTGTGCGGTATATTATGAAATATGACCAGCCCACCCTGGAACACTTTGCAAGGCTCTATCACCCCCACATCCTACTTAACCCTTATAGCTATCCCAGGAGAGCCCACTCCCCCCAACATTGTAGAGACAACAGAACTGCTGCACAAAAAAACAGAACATAAGCAACTTGGTCAAGATCACTGAAACAATTGGGATTCGAACTGGGAGTCAGGACTTGCCTAACTCCAAATCCCAGCTATTAACACCTCACTCTGCTTCATCAGGAGGAGAGAAAAATTACATAAGCCAAGGAGAGGTAGGTTACATGGAAAGAAAATAAAGAGGGGAAGTGAGTGATCTCAGCCATGGAAGGTTTGACAATGCAGGCCATGCATGCAATGCTTATTATTATGGTAGACTTGCTATTTGACCTCTTTGAACTTGTGAGATCACTTTTATTCTATAATTTACTTATTCATTCTTCCACTAAGAATTTGCTGAAAAATTACCATGTGTGAAAATGTCTTGTAAACTCTTTTTTTTTTTTTTTTTTACCCCAAGACAGAGTCTTGCTCTATCGCCCAGAGCTGGAGTGCACTGGCATGATCTCGGCTCACTGCAATCTCCGCCTCCCAGGTTCAAGCAATTCTCCTGCCTCAGCCTCCCGAGTAGCTGGGATTACAGGCATGCGCCACCACACCAGGCTAATCTTTGTATTTTAGTAGAGACGGGGTTTCGCCATGTTGGCCAGGCTGGTCTCGGACTCCTGACCTCATGATCCACCCACTTCAGCCTCCGAAAGTGCTGGGATTACAGGCATGAGTCACCGCATCGGGGCACAATTATTAATTTTTAAACCTTGTGAGAGATGCAAAAGACTTCTGCCTTAAGGAATTTATAACTTGTTGGACCTAGAATATGTATTTCCCTTCTATTTCTTAGAACAAAAATCAAGCGTCCTCTAATAAGAGTGGGAAGGTACAGGATGTAACTAAAGCATTTCTGTCAGGGTTTTCCCACTGTCCCTTCCTATTCATCACTGTCCCTTCCCGTTGACTCATTTCAACTTGGGATTCACTATGACCACTAGATCCTTTCCCTCTCTGTTTCTCTTGAAGTTCATTCTCCCTTGGACATTATTTAATCCCATATTCACAATGCCTACCTTCTCAATCTTTCATTGACTTGGTGAGCTGTTAACAAGAGTTCTATTTCACCCAACCACTCAGGGAGGAAAGAAGAGAACCTCACATTTGTGGGACTGGCCTCAGTATTCACTCAGGAGCTATAGTACTAATAGCCACTTCTCAGAGAGTCCTTGGGGAAAGTGAGGCATAACAGAGAGGCTAACTGCAATAAGTGGGCTGAGACTGGCCTGGTTGCTCTGAGCCTTTTCTGTCACTCATTTCTATCAAAAGACTGCCTTTAGGAGCAACGGAGTTTAATGAAGCTGTCCACAGTGGGGCAGCCAGCGGTAGTGGGATTGAAGTGGAAATCATGTGAGTTAGGTGAAAAAGTAGAAACTGGCCATATTCAGGGAGCTGCCACCCAGTTGGAGAACAGGTGTGACCTGTCAGTGGGCAGAGCTGCACAAGGCCAGATCCTCTCCCTCCTTAGTCACGAAGGCGCCCCCTGGCTCCAAGAGGAGGAGGGAGAACCAGATCTCAGTCCCCAGGCCTGAGAGGGGTCACCACTGAGGCACTGCCCAGGAGGGAGCTCACAGGCCTCATCACCCGCCCCCCCAATCTCTCTCCATGTCCTTCCCGCCCTGACCTCCTTCAACGGTGTCATCACTCGGCCTGTTAGACACTAAGTAGTAAAACTGGTCAACCTATAAAACTACTTGTCACTACGAAGGCCCAGAAAAAGATAAAAGATGAAATTAAATGGGGGAGAGGGGCACAAGAGGGTGATTGAAAAAAAACACAGATAATTTCTGGAACTGGATCTGTTAAGCCTTACCCATTAGTCCCCGCCCTCGGAAGTAGGAGCCTGTCATTCTGTAAAGGGACACAGCCACACGCAGAGGGGAGGGTAGAGGCCTCCACCCCTTCCCTCTTCGTCCCCGCCTAGGAGGGACCGTGGTGCCAGTAAAAGAGGGACTGGCTGGCCCGGAGCCTTGGGGATCCCCTCCTTTGTCTGGAACCCTCTGGCTCACCGCATCCTTCCTTGGGGCCGCACGGCCCTGCCCCGCAGACCAGGCGTGCTGGGGGCTGCTCGGCCAATGCAGGAAAGCGAACGCTTGCAGGGACCGCGCTGCTGCCTCTCCTCCGCCCTTTTCCCCTTAGTTTTTCAAGTTTCTTGGTCTCTCTCGCTCCTCTCTCTCTCTCTCTCCTCTCTCTCTCCCTGTCCCTCCTGTCTCTTCGCTCTCTCCTCTCTCTCTCTCCCCTTTCTCTCTCTCTCTCTCCTCTCTCTACTCTCTCCCTCTCTCCTCTCTCTCCCTCCTCTCTCCCCTCTCTTCCCTCTCTACTCTCTCTCTCCCTGTCTCTCCTCTCTCTTCCCTCTCTCCTCTCTCTCCTCTCTCTCTCTCCCCCCGCCAAGAGGAGCTTCAGATTTGTGGGTTGTTTTTAATGCATTCCAGATGCCAGACGAAATTTTGGCCCGGACACACCAGTTCCTCTGCAATTGGGACTCCCCCCACCTCCCCTCCGGGCCCCAAAGCCGCAGGGAGAGAAATAGGCGGGCGGGCGCCATCTGTTGGCAGCTGCATGGAGCCGCACGAAGAGGTGGAGGATTAAGGCGGGGCGCAGGTTTCCTGTAAAGGGCCGGATCCGTGATCCTCGTGAAACAATTAATGTCTGCCTGATGAAACATCCTCCAGGGATGGCCGGAGCAGCGGCTCACGCCTGTTATCCCAGAGCTTTGGAAGGCGGAAGCGGGAGGATCTCTTGAGCTCAAGAGTTTCAGACCAGCCTGGGCAATGTGGCGAGACCCCTTCTCTACAAAAACTAAAATAAAAATAAATTAGCCAGGTGTAGTGGCACGCCTGTGGTCCCAGCTACTTGAGAGGCCAAGATGGGAGGATCGCTTCAGCCCAGGAGGTTGAAGCTGCAGTGAGCTGTGACCACACCACTGCACTCCAGCCTGGGCGACAGAGCAAGACTATGTTTCAAAAAAAAGTCCTTGGGGCAAAAGGTGAGATGCTTTAGAACTCCTCAGTCCTAGACATGAACAGTGAAGGGGGACTGAAGATTGTTGGAGCATGGTGCAGAACCCTTCTGGTCTCGTTTTGCTGCCTCATTATGTTCTATTTCAGCTTTCAGAAAAATTTACTGGCATTAGAATGTTGAAAAATTGGTGACATTAGAATGTGAAATTCTTTGAAGGATGGAGATTTTGGCATTCAGTTTCATGTTCACCAAAATAAGCTAGCAGAATATTCTGTGCAAGTTAATTTATAAGTATATGGTTTGGTGAAATCTAATATAGAGGAGAGGGAAATGTAAAGTAAATGAAGCAAGTGGAAATAAATAGTTGTTATGGTTAGGAAAAGGCCATCATAATGCTTTTCATGGCTAGCATGCAGGCCACCGAAGTTCTATCCCAAACAGAAGGAAGCTCTTGTAGGATGGTGAGTTATGGTAGAGTTCTAGGAGGAGTGGGTATCAGCCTGTTGGAAGAGGGAAGGGAAGGGTTGGGAAGGGTGGAGGAAGTGAATGAAGTTCCAAAGCCAGGAAGCTAGGCACAACCCGGTGAGTAGTACCAAAACCTAAGGATGGTTTCTCAGGGATGCTCAGAAGAAAGAGCCCAGTCTCCTGAGAGCAAGCGTGCAGCCCTGTCTCCACATTTTCCCCTGAACATGGTCCTGTCCACTAAATCAGGCCTGAGGACCCCGAAACACCTCCAGGCCCTGGGCCCTCACCCACTAGACAGCCCAGGAACCAGGGGTCTAGGCCTGAATCATGGGAAGCTCTGGTACTGGGCTTTATATTCCTGCATTTTCAACAGGAACAAGACTTTGTGATGTGTGAGTTTTCACTCCCTTTCTTCCTCCCTCTTCCTCTTAGAGCCACCTTTGTCTTTGCCAATTTGTCCCTGGGGTTTGGTGACACAGAGGCAGTGGCCAGAAAAGAGAGGCAGAATTGGAGTCCTGGTCATGGGGTTTTGCTTCTGGACAAAGCTAAGATTCACTTGGATATGAACATAAAAACAAGGAGCTGCTGGAAGAGAAGAGCTGCACTTCGGGATGGGTTTATTAAGAGCTGAGAGCATGGAAGATGAGGCGGCTTTGGAAATCAGCTGCAGTAGCGTAGACAATACTGAGAATCATTTCAATAAAGACAATTTTTTTTTAAGAGACAGGGTCTCATGCTATGGCCCAGGCTGAAGTGCAGTGGGGTGATCACAGCTCACTAAAGCCACAACCTCTTGGGCTCAAGTTGGTACTACAGGCACACACCACCATGCCCAGCTCATTTTTAAAATTTTTTTGTAGAGACAAGGTCTCACTATTTTGCCCAGCTTGGTCTCAAAACTCCTAGCCTCAAATGATCCTCTCTCCTCAGCCTCCCAAACTGCTGAGATTACAGGTGTGAGCCACTGTGCCCCACGGAGGATGAGGTTTATAAGGTGATTTCTGGTGCATCAAGAAGGTATTTTCCTCCCCTCCCTCTGACCTTCTTGAGGGACCAAAAATTGGAAGGTACTTTCCATTGATCTTCTGGAAGAAGGAGAGGGTCCAATAAAATCGCTGTTTATTTGAGTCAGCATCACGCATATCCCAGGCCACACGGACCCCCAGTTATATTCTGATTACACATTCAATGCTTGTGTGTTCTCAGCACTGAAGAGGTAGTGGTACTGAAGGCAGCCCATGGAGCTATAGTCCTAGATGTTTTATTCCTTTAATATTTAAAGCAAACCTATCCAGCAAAACAGAGGAGGCGAAAACAACAACAACAAAACCCTGCATGTCAGTTTTTAGCAAAAATCTGGACTATATATCTTTCTGAGATTCACGGAAATCTTTGATCCAAGGTGCTGTTGATGAGCCTGTGGGTGGGCTGGGAGTTTGCTGGTGGACCTACAAGGCTGTGGAGCGCATGTCAGTTCTCCCACCAGTCTCAGGCAGTGACGCCTAGTGGTTTAGAGCACAGCTTCTGGATCGAGACATTCCTGGGTTCAAATCCCAGCACTGTTGCTTCCTTCTTGTATAACTCAAGAAAGTCTTGGCTTCTGCAGATGCCGCCGCCGCCGGGAGCCCCATACTGTCAGCCATGGTCAACCCCACCATGTTCTTCAGCATCGTCGTCGACGGCGAGCCCTTGGGCTGCACCTCCTTTGAGCTGTTTGCAGACGAGATTCCAAAGACGGCAGAAAACTTTCATGCTCTGAGCACTGGAGTGAAAGGATTTGGTTTTAAGGGTTCCTGCTTTCACAGAATTATTACAGAGTTTATGTGTCAGGGTGGTGACTTCACACGCCATAATGGCACTGGTGCCAAGTCTATCTACGGGGAGAAATTTGATGACGAGGACTTCATCCTAAAGCATACAGGTCCTGACATCCTGTCTGTGGCAAATGCGGAACCCGATACAAACGGTTCCCAGTTTTTCATCTGCACTGCCAAGACAGAGTGGTTGAATGGGAAGTGGGTGGTCTCTGGCAAGGTGAGAGAAGGCATGAATATTGTGGAGGCTATGGGGTGCTTTGGGTCCAGGAATGGCAAGACCAGCAAGAAGAGTTGTCAGAGACCAGTTGTCCAGCTGACTGTGGACAACTCTAATAAGTTTCACTTGTGTTTTATCTTAACCACCAGACCATTACTTCTGTAGCTCAGGGGAGCACCCTTCACCCCATTTGCTTGCACTATCCTGTCATCTTTATGTTCTCACTGCAGTTCCCTTTGGGTTCCATGTTTCCTTGTTCCCTTCCATGCCTAGCTGGATTGCAGAGTTAAGTTTATTATTAGGAAATAAAAATCAAATAACAAAAAAAAAGAAAGCCTTTATCTTCTTATGCCTCCCTCTTTTTATCTGTACAGTGGGGATAAAAGTAGTACCACTTCTTTCGAGTTCATGTAAGGAGTAAATGAATGAGTAGGTGAAAGTGTTAGCACAGTGACTGCCTTATTGTAATGTTTATTAAGTGCTAGTTACTAGCCAGGCAAAGAGAACCATCTCTTGACATAGGCAGGCTCAGGACCTTTGTAAACACTTGTGGTCTGACCATTCAGTCAGATCAACCCAGAGGCCAAGCTGCACACGTGTCCCATGGACTGACTGCATCCCTAGGAGGTACTCTTCTGCTGGGTTGAAGGCATCCCTCAGTTGGTGAGGAGTGGCTCCAATGACCTCCACCTGACCCTGGTGTACTCTGATTCTCTTGCCCACTTCCCTGTAAGAGCCACCCCATTTGCCCCTCATTGCAGACGAGAAAGGAAGGAAAAACAGAGCTGGGCTGCTGTGGTCTTTGTCGTGTCCTCAAAGCCCTCTGGAAGGAATAGAGAGACATCAAAGGCTGAGGCTCTCCACCCAGACCCCATGTAATTGCCCGGCCAAAATGGACCAAGGTAGGCAGCATCCCGCTCAGGTCCTGCAGGTACTCACACACCCTGCCCCCACCTGGCCAGGAGCGCCCCTTCTGTTTCTCAGGGAACTGGGGAGTCCCAACTTCTAGTCGTTCTTCTGTTGGGACTCACATGCCCTCGCTCCCCACCCTGTGGCTTCGCTGGTGCTTCTCACCATACCCAAAGCTCCACCACCTTACTGAGTCATGCATTTACATTGTACGGTGCTGCTCTGGGGCCAGGAAAATGACCCACTAATAGAGATTACAAACAAGCACTGGCCAAGGTATGGTTGTAATGTTTAAAAGCACTGCTGGGTATTTCTGGATCTACTTCTTGGTCTTGTCTCTTATCGCTATTTCCTTCCCTGTGTTCCTTGTGCCTCTAACATGAAGGGTAATTTCACTGCAGCCCCAGCCTCTCCAGTGTTTACCCCCTGGTAAACTGGGGGCACTTGCCAGGCGGAGAGACCCCGATGAGTCCCTGCACTGGGGACAGAAAATGTTCTGACTTCAACTGTTATTCATCTCATTTTTTAACTTCTATTTTGGGGTATGTTTTAGATTTACATAATGACACAGTAATAGCTGTTTACATTAATAAATAAATACGCAGTTACTGAGGATGCATGAGCAAATGTGGAAGGGCGCAATTTTAAAGATTTGGCGGCCAGTGTCCTGGCCCACAGCACCCGTCTGTCATTCTCTGATCTGGCTTCAGGGAGGTTTCCTTGCTATATCAGCTCCCAGGGTTGTTCTCCAACCAGAGTAATAAGCACAACCTCTAACAGAGGGAAGTGCCTGGCACCAAGCAACCAATCAGAGGGACCTGGAGGCTCCGGACTCAGCCCACGTAAATCCC